GAGCAATATCACCGACTCTATAAAATATGAATAGCTTTTATCAAATATCAATGCCATGATTCAAGTGCAGTAATTCTTAATAATTCAAGTGCAGTAAACTACTTGAAATATTACCACTTTCCTGGTCTGAGATCCAGTTGATACGACTGTCCTAATTTTTGATAATTTGGGATGCTTCTTCTTCATATTGATAATAGGATATAATGTCATTTTCTAGTCTTACTTGACGGAGGCATGACATTTTTAATTGGATTCCCTTTTCCTCTAACCTGCATTGTTATTGTCTCACACGAGAATTATTTAATGTGATTGTTGCTTCAGCATACTTTGTTTCTTCTACATTTGCCTGATTTGTCTATGTGGTGCGTAGGAACCAATCCCTGTCACACAGCTGGTGAGGGAAACTGCTGCTGTCATGCAGGAATTCACCTAATCAGGGTAACCACTGTTTATTCCATAATTCCTTTTTACAAAGAGAGGGTCCTATAAAGTGTATACTGGTCATATTTCAAATCTTTCAGTTGTCTTGTATTTGTCCTTTGAGGCTATTGTTGCCTTCATTTTCTTGCAGAATCTGGTTGATGGACCTGTAGTTGAAAAATTTGTATATCCTGTAGAACTTAATATCATTTGGCTATTGAGAAATAGAAATTTAAATAGGATGAAATAGCGATCACTTATCTGAATATCATGTGAAAATGTTATCTTATGGAGTTGTATTGAATTTATTTCTTCCTCCCCTTCTCTTTCTGAGATTTTCTCATTAAGTCACCTTCCTTTCTTTTCCCATACTGCTTCCTTTTTGTTGCTTGGGTTAAAAGTTAAAACTATGAATTGAAAGCAGGCAAAGCCAGATCTTTCTTGAAATTAATCCAGATTCCTAATCTGTCTCTATTCATGATTTTCTTTTTGCTGTTCAAGAAAGAGCTCATACTTTGTAGCCTTTTTGGGCTATCCCTTACTTTTATTTTTCTGTTTTCTCCGGTGCAGTGGTGTAAGGCCATTTGGTGTTTCACTCTTGGTTGCGAGATTTGATGACAAGGGTCCCCAACTATATCAGGTATGTTATCTATCTGTGTTGGTGTGATCTCTCAGTATCGTTTTCTGTTATTGAGGTGTGGCTAATGGTGGTTTATACTTCCGTCAGATGAATCTACATATTTATACAGGTTTTCTCCATGGTGCTTCAATTATTACTATGGAAAGGGGTTTTTATTTTTTGAAAAGCTTTTTTACTGAGCTGCAGATTTCTCTGTTGCTTGAACTCCTTTTATATTCAGTTTATTTTTCTCATTTTAGGTGGATCCATCTGATTCATGCTTCTCTTGGAAGGCTTCAGCTATGGGGAAGAATGTCTCTAATGCGAAGACATTTCTCGAGAAGAGGTGAATCATTCATCAAATTTTGTAACTCCTTTTTTCTTATTTCTAGTGCTATCTTTTTAACGTTTCAATACTGGTTCGGCAATCGAAGTTACTGTCTGATTTAATGTATAAATTACCAGTTTTAGAAGGCTCATCTTGACCAGCTACCTCATGCTTTAGTCCCTTATAATTTTGGTAAAATGAGAGCAATACAATACCTCCTCAGTCCTCAATGACCCCTAACTAATTCTTCATCCCATCAATGATGTACTGTCTCGATCATTTATATTGCTGTCATCTTTGTAGCAACTTGCTATTAACACTGCACACTACTCCTTGCGCTTCCCCTTCTTTTGCCAAAAGTTGGAACAGCGCTTATGTGTGGGACATTCTTCACTTCGTGAATATGTCAATGAATTACATCCTGTTCTATTCTATTATATATCTGAATATGCCAAGGGGTATTACCCAAACCAAGCTGTAATTTATAAGTGTAATCATGAAGCCAAACCTCATGGCAACCGAAGGTGGGTGGGGGTGAAAAAGGAGAAATTATGTATTCATGGATGAGTTTAATTGCACTTAATGAATGACCTAGGACCTAGGAAGAGGGTTGTTGGTAATGAAACAACTGATCTTGTTTGAAACAAGACGCTAGCATAGGGTTTCTGCTCATATTGCTATGTGAAAGCAGCTGGCGCTTGCAATTGGAAATTATAGGTCAAACTTTGACATGCCCTTGGAGGATGTTAACCAGTTTTCTCTCCCACAATGTCAAAACATTAACATTGTCTCATTGGCCAACTACTGAGCCAAGTTGGGGTGCTTCTTACTCTGTCCAATTATACTGTTGAATTTCTTATTAACATTTAAAATAATGTTCCTGTTCCTCTCAGGTAGACGGAGGATATAGAGCTCGATGATGCTGTACACACTGCTATACTGACTCTAAAGGAGGGGTAAGATTAACTTTTTCCTCTATCCAGGAGCTGTGTACTCTATATCCGAATTGTCCCCTCCGATGGGGTGTCTCTTCGACCCTTCTGCTTCTTTTGGAAGAGGAAATGGTTTTTGATGTCCGCTATAATTCGCTTCATTTAGTTAATGAAAGAATTAAAGCAAGGCTTATCTGTATCTTCATTTCAAATGTATGGCACCAAAATCTATGCATGCAAAACTTCTGAGTCATGACTACTGTCACCATTGCTTGCTTGTTGTGCAGTAATGGTCCTCAGAGCAAAGTATCTTTAACGACGTTCTGTCCCCCATTCCCGATGCCCCAACTGTGTGATGACCTTTTCAATATAACTCTTAATATCAAAAGAATCCTTAAAACAAACCTTATTTTTGGTGTTCATCCAGATTCGAGGGACAGATCTCTGGCAAAAACATTGAGATTGGCATTATTGGAACTGACAAAGCATTTAAGTGTCTTCTTGTCCTTAAAATATAAATTTTGTTCGCTCTTTTATGAGAAATTTTAACATTTGTTCACTCTTTTAGCTGGTGGGTTACTAAAATAGTGTAGTTCGTTTCGTTGCAGAGTTCTCACGCCAGCGGAAATAGATGATTACCTACAAGAAATGGAATAGATTTTCTTTTCCGCCCAAGGCATAGGAAAAAGTTGGGTTGCACTGATGGTTAGCACCCTCCACTTCCAACCAAGAGGTTGTGAGTTCGAATCACTCCAAGAGTAAGGTGGAGAGTTCTTGGGGGGAAGAATGCTGATGGTCTATTGAAAACAGTCTCTCTACCCTAGGGTAGGGGTAAGGTCTGCGTACACACTATCCTTCCCAGATCCCACTAGTGGAATTATGAGTTCGAAACTTAAATGCCAAAAAAAAAATATACTTTTCTATATATAATGTGGTATTATATCGCGCTATACTTTAACGGTGTTTCTGCTGTTAACTTAAAGTATAGCGCGGTATAATACCGCGTTATATATAGCGCGATATTATAACATGCTATACCTATTACATAAAGACCCCTTCTTCTTCCCCACGACAGAAACAGACGCCCCATTTAAAAAAAAAGAAACAGCGGTACCCCCCCCCCCCTCCCCGCCCCCTTCTTTTTCACCAAAAAATTTCGAGAGGACCTCACTCGTCACACAAAAAGATAAGATTGTAGGTCCTGCATCCAACTCAAGCCTTCTATTGTTGTGGTTTCCTCATTTCGGGCTCAAAATTTTAATTTTTCGATTTTTCTAAAAACATAAATCGAGGTATTCCGATTTAGTTTATGTCGAAACTCGTATAATAATGCATATTAGTTGTCTTGAATGTGTTTCTATGTTGTATTCTATTTTGTTTGCGATTAAATTAGTATGTTATTTTTATCCGGATTAAGATATTAGTGTTTAAAGAAAGTCGTTAAAAGTTGAGAAATAATTTTTCTTGTTAATAAAAATGTTCATAAATTTCTTTTATTGTTTATATGTAATTTCGTGAATGTTATGTTATTAAAATATGTTTGTTGTTTTTATTTTGTTTAGATTATTTATTTGCTTAAAGACTAGTGCCCTTATAGCGTGGTAAAATATAGAGCCTTTTAGCATAGTAAAATATAGAGCCTTTTAGCGTAGTAAAATGTAGAGCCTTTTAGCGTAGAATCTCTGTAGTTTAAGTATCTAATATATTGATAGATCAAACACAAACTTTGTCCAATTACAATTTACAAAAATTAATTATTTAATTTAGAAAAACAAACACATTTTATTATGAAAAATATTGAAATTGACACACATAAAAATTCAGGATAGCTTGGTGCTACTGAGCCTCAAATATCGAGCCTGGAACGTATAGGTATATACTCTATCCAATTAAAAACTAATTATTTGATTTATAAAACACAAAATTCTAAAAATATTAAAATTGACACACATAAGAATTCAGGATAGCGTGGTGCTACTGGGCCTCAAATGTCGAGCCTGGAACGCATAGGTATATACTCTATCCAATTAAAAACTAATTATTTAATTTATAAAACATAAAATTCTAAAAATATTGAAATTGACACACATAAGAATTCAGGAAAGCGTGGTGCTACTGGGCCTCAAATATCGAGCCTGGAACCCATAGATATATACGCTGTCCAATTAAAAATTAATTATTTAATTTATAAAACACACAAAATTCTAAAAATATGGAAATTGACACACATAAGAATTCAAGAAAGCGTGATGCTAAACAAACAAAATTATGAAAAGTATTGAAATTGACACACATAAGAATTCAGGATAGCTTGGTGCTACTGGGCCTCAACTATCGAGCTTGGAACCCTTAGGTATATACTCTGTCCAATTAAAAATTAATTATTTAATTTATAAAACAAACAAAATTTTGAAAAGTATTGAAATTGACACACATAAGAATTCAGGATAGCTTGGTGCTACTGGGCCTCAAATATCGAGCCTGGAACCCATAGATATATACGCTGTCCAATTAAAAATTAATTATTTAATTTATAAAACAAACAAAATTATGAAAATTATTGAAATTATTTAATTTATAAAACAAACAAAATTATGAAAAATATTGAAATTAGATATATACTTTGTCCAATTAAATAATTAAATATTAATTATTTACAAAACAAACACACAATTAATATTGTTTAATTTACAGTAGACGACATGGACGTGCCGCCTGTGCATCCTGGACGTCTCTCGGATGAGCTATTAGTGTTACAGGGCGATCATAGGTCCGCCTACGTATGGGAGGGAGAGCTACTGGAGCAGACTCTCCATGCCAGGAGAGTGGACGACTTGTGGGACTTTATGCGAGGCAGAGTTTTCCATCCCCGCGTAGTCCAGCGCCTGAGGGATATCGGCTTCTATAGGATATTTGAGATTGGGCGGCTGCAGCTCGACTGGTCTCTGATCACGGCCTTGATAGAGCGGTGGCGACCGGAGATGCACACTTTTCACCTGCCCATTGGCGAGGCCACCATCATGCTGCAGGATATTGAGGTTTTATATGGGCTGCCTGGTGATGGACTGGCCATTGCACTGCCTCAGTATATGAGATCTATGTTGCGTGACCAGTATTTGGACTTGCTGCAGCAGTTCACTGGTTTCAGGCCACAGGCTGAGACTGCAGCTTTAGGGGCCAGTCGCATGGCTTTGACAGCTATTAGACAACATTTAGAGATATTGCACCCTGACATCACCGGCGAGACAGATGATCTACATATTCACCGGTACACGAGGTTGGTGCTGCTCCTTCTTTTTGGGGGTGTCTTGTTCCCGAACACTTCGGGAAATCTAGTGAGTTTGCAATTTCTACATCATCTTCAGCAGCTAGATGATTTACCCCAGTACAGCTGGGGTGCTGTTGTTCTCGCTTACCTGTACAGGAATATGTGCCGGGCAAGCATGGGCACCCAGAGCGACGTATGTGGTTTTCTGCCGCTTCTACAGGTGACAACATATTCGAATACTCTGTTCATTACTTCCAATTCTATCTAGTCAAAATTTTTCTTAAACTTTACGTCAACCTTGTATGTTAAGTTTGGGCCTGGGAGCGGTTCCTACCGTTGCAGCCACCTCTACCACCATTACCTCCAGATGTAGAGCCTACGTTTCTCCCTTTAGCTACGAGGTGGTTCTCCGGCGGGGAAATTACCGAGCCATTGATGCTCATCATAATCTCCCCCTTGTCAGGGATGTGTTGGATATGCTGGAGGGCGCACAGGTAAATGTGTACCTAAACCTACTTGTTATAAATTCACTTGTGTTGCGCATACTCACTTTTATGTTATTATTTGATAGTTCATCTGGACGACATACAGCGACGACTTGATAGGTGGCTTTCCCGATTATTGCTCGGCCGGCCGACTGATTTGGAGCACTTCCGTCTCGCTGATGTGCCTCAATATTGTGGAGCATCATGCCAAAGAGCGGGTACTTCGCCAGTTTGGCCGTCCGCAGACTATACCGAGGGGGCCTGCATGAGAAGCTTTACATTATCAGCGGGATGATCGTTCGAGGGCGGATGACGCATTTGGAGCATGGCTAGAGGCGCAGGTCCATACTTGGGAGGGCGAGAGGACCTGATTCCGCCCCCACCTTCACAGATCCAGGCGACGACTATTCAGATGTATACGTCTTGGTACCGCCGCGTTACCCGACTTTTTATCGGGAACCCCATTCATCAAGATGGCGGTCGGTACACACCATACGCCGAGAGGCACGAGGCACTGGTATGTTATTTGGTATTCTTACTTATTATTGTGATATAGCATTCTGTAATTAATATTTTAAATGTTTTGCAGGCTATTGGTCATCATTTATTCTACCAGTTGGGACTACATATGCAGCAGCATGCCGGCGATCCTACGGTCGCTGAGTATGGCCGGCAGGTGATAGAGCTAGCTCTCTAGACACTGTAGCGAGCCAGACTGGGCGAGCGCTTAGATCACGACCCTGAGTATATGGCGCCAGAGTACCACCAGCGGGGTAGGCCTGTCCCACGCCCGAGGGGACGGGGACGAGGCAGGGCTGTCCCACGAGGCGGGGGTGCCCCACGAGGCAGGGGTGCCCCACGGAGTCGTGGGGGCCGGCGAGGAGGTGGTCCCTAGCAAGGGGGCGTGGAGGCACCTGTTGAGGCACCCGATGAGGATCTTGGAGGTGATCAGCCGGGTTATATCCCTCAACAAGACGAGCCTCCCTGCAGCATGCCGTCGTACATCCTTCAGCTGGAGCTGCCAGCATCGCAGGTGACCCCGTCAGATCCATTGTTGATCACGGGCACGAGCTACACCGCAGATATAGAGCAGTTCTTTTCAGGCCCATCGACCACAGCTGAGGATCGGCCGACCCGAGACGTGGATGGTAGGCACAGGTTGAGTTTTGGCTCATCGTCGTCGGGTGCGGCGGATCTATCACAGGCGCATGTATATTTGTATTATTATTAAATTTTAATTTATTTTTTTTCTCAATGATTTGCCATAAAATAATTTTTTATCTTCTTATTAAGGCTTCATCCCAGTCGGCCACGGAGGCCACTTTATGCGATGATGAGGACACCACATATGCTTATATTCAGGAGCCCGACGAGACCATGGTAAGAAAATATTTTTCACTTAACACGTACATTACTAATATACATTTTCGTATACTGAGCTTACTTATTGTTTTGTAGGTTGCTGATGGACCGACGACTCCTTCTATCGACCCTGCCAGCTCAACTGACGATCATCCTGCAGCGCATCCTCATATAAAGAGGCGACGTGATGAGGATGATCCTGATAGTGTATCCAGACGGGAGGGAATGCGCCTCAGGCGAGCGGCTGCATTGAAGCATAAGGGTTGTGGGACTCATTGATTTTCTTTTTTTTGTATTTTATGTAAATAATAACAATAATTTTTTATGCTTACATAATATGCGCATTATGTTTTTATTACCCCGTTTCTTCTTTACTAACACCAATAAGTTTAATGTTGGAACTATCATATCATCATCCTAATTCAAAAGGTCACGTTGAAAAATAATATGTAACAAGACTGTGGAACACAATTTTATTTGATAGATATTGCAACATAAACAAGTACAGACACTTATTACAAAAAATATTACGAAAACAAAACACTAGGTGTATTCTTGATAGTTGGGTACATTGGACGAACTTGCACCAGGAGCTGGATTACCACCGCCACCCAGACCAGCTGAAGGACATTTACGACAGTCGTGTCCTGTTTACGAGCATATGCCACATTTACGCGCATAAACGGTATCACCAACATCCATTTGGTTCCATACGCGTTCTCTTTTGCACTTGCAGCTTGCGTAAATAGTCCTTGTTACACAGCATTTTAAATGGTTTCGGCGACCAATAATGCTCAGAACCCAATGGCTGCAACTGCCCACTATATGTGTTTACGTATGCAACAACACTGTATTGCCTATCAACGTAGTTGGTTGCCGCTAAACCAACTTGTTGAGAGCACATCATGGCATGTGCACACGGCATGTGGTAGATGGTCCATTTCCCACATGAACACAACCTGCTGGCTTCATTCACAATTTGTAGATTATTCCCCTGGTGTCCGCGGATAGCGGTGCGAACTTCAAAAATACCCCGGTCGTGATCATACTGTAAAAATAAATGCCAATGTGCTCGCCTCCTGTATTTCTCAAATCTTCTCATCGGTATTGGCATAAATTGAACACCCCTGTCCATCAATTCCGATGCAGCTTTATGTCTTTCAACTAACCTCTCCGCAATCTGTTTGAATGTCATCCGGACCATGGCAGTGACAGGCAATCCACGTGCAGACTTCAATAAGCCGTTGAATGACTCAGACACATTTGTAGTCAGGGCTCCCCATCGTCTGCCAGCATCAGCATGCAATGTCTACTTGTAAAGCTCATGTCATCTGCCAATTATAGGCTCTTTCATCTAACTGCCGGATCGCTTCCATGCGTCTCGTGAATTTGCACTGCTGGTGCTCAGTTGCAGCCATCCATATTAAATCATGCAAGGCCTTGTCGGGATATTTCTTTTGGAAATTGGCCTTCAAATACCTCATACAGTAACGGTGGTATGCATAGGGTTCCTGCCATTCAGGCAAATGCCTTACAGAACTTAAAATACCACCATGCCGATCAGATATTAGACAAATACCTGAACGCTATTTGACAACGTGCTGCTTCAAGTGGTTCAAAAAAAGCGTCCACGTCTCTTCGGTTTCATTGGCACAAATGGCAAAAGCTAGTGAAAATATTTGTCCGTTGGCATCTACTGCAACTGCGATCAAAATCTTAATATCATACTTTCTATAGACATGAGTACCGTCTATGGAAATTACCGGACGAAAATGCACAAAACCATCAATTGCTGGTTTAAATGACCAGAACACATAGTTGAAAATATATTCCGGTATTCTCGGACTTCGCTCTTGCCTCCATTCAACAACAGTCCCGGGGTTAAAGTGTTTCAGTGCGGCCATGTACCTGGGTAGAGATGAAAATGACTTATCCCAGTCACCATAAATAATTTCAAATGCACGTTTGTGCCCGAGATATGCCTTTCTTTTGGTTATAGTACACCCATATTCTTGGTGGACAGATGTAATACACTCTTTGATCTTGTACCTAATGGACACTTCCAAGAAAGGAATCAAGACAAGAGAAATCAAGTCTACATCCAAGTTGAAGTGATTCTGATTGAATGTGTCCATTTCACATCTGTTGGTGCCAATATATTTACCCACTTTCCACAACCCTGTTTCCTTCTTGATCGCACGCAACATCCAGTTACAACCCATAAACTGTCTACGACATACAGCCGTGTATACCTCCGGAGTTGACTCCCTTACCGTCATCTCACGACACTCTCTGACGCTGTACATTTTTACAGCCCTGGTTAAGCGAGCTTTATCGGGAAAATACATGCCCTTTGCCAACACCGTTGGTCTAGACTCATCCCACATTGCTGACCGAAATTCATCAACATCCCTTGTGAGGGCCTCCACATCCGGCATACTTGGAAAATTCTCAAGGTAGGGAATATTTCGCTCATGAAACTGCACGTGGGACTCGTACACTCTTGGTCTAACTGGAGGTGAAGGAGCATGCTCACTCATCAACTCAGGTTCGACATTCACTTCCTCCTCATCATCACCTTCGTCAGGGAAGGGTGTGTCATCTCCGGACTCATCGGCATTGTTGTCATAATCACTATTATCTTCCTGACTCTGCGCATCTGCCAGGTCACGAGTAAATACGTCATCTACGGGCAACTGAGTAAGGTCAGGAGCATCAAGTTGCTCATTTTCACTGCACAGAAAGAACAAAATGATAAGCTACTCAAATTGAAAAATACTTTACATATAGCTATATCACTTCACTTACAAGTCGTACTGTGTTGACACTCTATTATGGACATTTTCCTGTTGGTGATGACTCCCGGATGGACCTCCGTGATCCAACACGCCAGAACTACGTATATTCCAACTAGGCGTGGGGTCATAACTTGTAAAATTTATATCCGAATGGTACCCCCTGTGGAAAATATGAGTGTTAATACAAATTCAACTCAACAAAAAATAAACATCGTAACAGAAAGGAAAATTGAAGTTTACCAGTCGTCTTGTGGATTATGTAAAGTAGGAGAGAAATTATTTCCTCGCTCCTCGTTCGCCTGCGGAGATAAGTTAAGATTCTGCCAAACTCTTTCAGCCGGAAACTTAGGGCTAAAATTGCTCCAGAATAATCACCCGAAGACTGGGGGTTATCCCTGCTTTGCGCAATCTCATTATTGCCAACGTCTTCAGCCTTGACGTACATTTCCAACAATTTTATCACAATAAATTCCCTGTATTCATCCGGAATCCACAAAAAATCTCTAAGAGTTTCATCATCTTCGATGTTAAACTCAGAATAATAAGCAAACCCCTACGGAGTCACAGAATACAGAAATCTACCGGTTACTTTAAGGTTCACCGAATATTTCTTCACACTCATTTTTTAACGTAACAATGATACCAATTTATCGTACTCCATTGTAAGCGTCAATTTAACATGACACTGTGGAGATGAACTAAACTTCACAGAGTTATTCTCCGTTACAACCTCACCCCCCCCCCCCCCCAAAATATAATGAAATCCTTATTTTTGGCTCTTCAGACATTATAAAAAATGCTTGATAAAGAGAAGAAAAGTTTGAACAGAAGTTAGAATATTTTTTGAATGGATTTTCATAAAATCCAAACGCCTTTAAATAAGGCAATGCCAAGCCCGTGGACTGAATTTTTTGATGTATAGCGCGGTATTATACCGCGCTATACTCATTTAAATTATTGTTATGTCAGTTATCCGCAGGAGAGTTATTGGTGGGCCCACAAATATGTATAGCGCGGTATTATACCGCGCTATATATATTTGAATTACAGTTATTTCAGTTAAATGCATGAGACTAATTGGTGGGTCCACAAAAAAGTATAGCGCGATATATATATATAACACAGTATTATACCACGCTATACTTTAATGGCAGAAACACCGTTAAAGTATAACACGGTATTATACCGCGTTATATATAGAAAAGTATCTTTTTTTTAACACAGTAAAAATGTATTTTGAGTCAAAAAAGTTGGCATTTAGGTTTCGGACACTATTATACTGGGTGGTTATTTTTGTGGTTGCATAGGAAAAAGTTCTCAGGTTGGAAGTGCAGACGGAGTCAAAACACAAGTATTCGATGTTCTTGTTGGCTTGGTTATAACTTGAATCTAATCAAACTAAACTTAGTTGTATAACTGCCATGTTGTGGTTATTTATTGCCTGATCTATGCTCTCAAAAGTAAAATGGGTTTTCTTTTCTCATTATCTTGAATATTACAGATTGTTCAGTGTCGCCTGAAACACATGACAGTAAAATCAATCATTATAGTATTGGAGCAACCCTCTTGACTCCGGAGAAATGTTTGAAAATAGAAGGGATATATAATTATTGGAAATGCATTTTCATTTTTAATTAGATAAGTATATATAATTAGTGGAACTCCATTTTTATTTTTAACTAGAGAAGCATCTATAATCAGTGGAGCTCCATTTTCAACCCGGAGAGTCAATTTCTGCACCTAGACCAGCGCAAAGTTGGAAATTTAAATAATTAATGGAAACCAATAAGGTCGTTCTATATTATAAGGTATATATAAAAATGATTATATGGACTCTTTGTTTCAAAAGAGTTGGCCCAATTTTGGATTAGCCCAATTTCAGCCCAACTATTTTTTACCCCAATCCACCACCCATTCAACTCCCCCAGCCGACCCGCCTCCCATCCAGCCGACCCGCCCCATCCCAAACTTTAAATCACATCCATTCATCCCTTTAGATCCCATGGACAAGATTAATCCCCCAAACCATATAAAATCCTAATTAGACACAAACCCTAACCTTAATCCTTTTCAAACTGCCGCACCTCACCCTAATCCCCTCTCTCAACTCTGCCGCTGCCCTCACCACACCATAACTCCACCATAATCTCACACACTCGTGCACTGGTCCCCTCCCTCTCATCCCTCTATCCACATGGCTTAAGGACTTCTGACAACGGGAATATTCTTCCTTGATTTCACGCGTTCATCTCCCCTTTTCTTTGAGAAATTTATGCCGTCCATGAACAAATGATAGAAAAATGGGAGCTGTAGGATCAAAGTCTTTTGATCCTAGGCGTCCATTTTCCTAAAAATCTATTTTTCGGACTCTTTTTGGATTTTTCGGATGATTTTGTAATGAACTAATAGTTTTTATATGAAATGAAGATGTAATTGAAAAAAATGGAGCTTTTATTGATCACTTGGAAACAATTGATTTACATCAATGGAGTTACAGATAAATGCTAGCTAATAACCCCATGGATATGACCTGAAAGTTGAGAAGAGAAAGAGAGTATTAGGAACGAAGAGATAGGAGAGAGAGAAAAGAAAATAGTTAGAAAGTGTAACTGATTTACCGGAATTTGACTGCTCCTTCTTTCTCCATTCTGTTTATTTATTAGTTGTTAGTTGGGCTGGGGTAATGACTAATTAGGCCGCTGAGTCTGTAACAATCTTTAGCCCAATACCTTCTAATCCTTTTATTTGACCCATATAAGTTTCTACACATACCTTCCCCAATATAACAATATCTACTTACTCCACTTTCCTAATTCTTAACCTGAGGCGTTATAATCCCTTTCCCTTCAAAGAATGACCTTGTACTCAAGGTCTTTGATGAGCCACAAATTCAGGAAATCGATTCTTGATATAGCCCTAATCTTCCCATGTAGCCTCTTCCTTACTCAAATTAGCCCAATGAATCAAGACCTTCATGCGAACCCCATTGTCCACCTTAATTATTCGACGCTGCAAAATCGCTATAGCTTGAATTAAGACCTGGCCTGCACTGTCACAGATCGGGGGTTGTGGCTGAGGATCTATAAATTGTCCAACCCATTTCTTCAATTGAGAAATGTGGAAGAATGGATGTAGCTGGGATTCTGCTGGCAACTCCAAACGCTAAGCCACTGAGCCTATTCTTTGTAAGACTTTATAAGGTCCATAATCGCAAGCACACACAACTTCACATTCTTGCGTACATCGATAGAAGCCTGTCTATAGGGTTGTAATTTGAGGTAAAACAAATCCCCAACTTCAAAGGATCTCTCAATCCGGAGTCTATCTGCATAAAACTTCATCCTTGATTGAGCTTGAGCCAAATTATCTTTGAGTGTCTGTAATAAGTGTTGCCTCTATGCTAAGCATACTCCAGCTGGATGTCGACCAGTGTTAGGAAAAGAGCCTAACGGTAACTGAGTCGGGGGGTAGCCATATAAGGCTTAAAAATGAGTGGTCTTTAGTGAGCTATGGTAGTTTGTGTTGTACCACCACTCAGCCAAATGAAGCCACTTAGCCCATTCTTTAGGATTGTGGAAAACCATAGCCCTCAAATAGGTCTCCATGCATCTGTTGAGCCTCTCAGTTTGCCCGTCTGATTGATGATGGTAAGCTGAGCTCATATTGAGTTTAGTACCCAAGGTTCTGAAGAGATGCTGCCAGAAATGGCTAGTGAAAATAGCATCTCTATCAGATACAATAGTCTTAGGAAGCCCATGCAGTCTATAAATCTCCTTAAGGAATAAATCTGCTACATCTTGAGCTGTGAATGGATGCTTAAGAGGTAGGAAATGCCCATACTTGGTTAATCTGTCAACCACCACTAAGACTGTATTTTTCTGGCCTGATTGAGGTAAACCTTCTACAAAATCTAAGGAAATATCTTCCTAAGCTTGGTTGGGTATGGGTAAGGGCTGTACTAATCCTGGAGGGTGAACTTGTTCTGATTTCACCCTCTGGCACACATCACACTCACTAGCCCATTTACATACTTCTGTATTCATGTTAGGCCAGTAGAACATAGATTGTACCTTCTTGTAGGTACCGTGCTGTCCTGAGTGACCCCCTAATGGTGATTGGTGTAGTGCTACTATCTTGTGTCTTAACTCAGTACTCCTTCCAATATAGATCTTGTGTTTGTATCTGATAATTCCCCGGTGTAATGAATAGTCTGCATTACTATCAGGGGCAATGTCCAATTCACTCAATAGTTGTAATGACACTGGATTAGATTCATAGCTTAGGCTCACTTCTTGTAACCAAGTAGCTTGAGTTGTAGATATAGCTAGTAATGTACAGTCTTCTTCTTGCCTTCTTGAAAGAGCATCTGCGACCTTATTCTCCACCCCCTTTTTGTATTGCACTTCATAGTCTAACCCCATCAGTTTTGTAAGACCTTTTTGTTGTAAGGTTGTAGTCACCTTTTGTTATAGGAGATATTTCAAACTCCGATTATCTGTCTTGACAATAAAATGTCCTCCTTGGAGATAATGCCTCCACTTATCCGCTGCTGCTAACACAACCATGTATTCCTTCTCATATGTAGAGAGACCCCTGTTTTTGGTTGCTAAGGCCTTGTTGAAGTAGGCTATAGGTCTTCCCTCTTGCATCAACACAACTCCTATGCTAGTGGAGCAAGCATCAGTCTCCACAATGAATGGCTTGGTGAAATCTGCTAAAGCTAGTAGTAGAACTAATACCATGGCCTCTTTCAACTGCTGAAAAGCCAATTCTGCCTCTGCATTCCATTAAAATGGGTTCTTCTCATGTAAATTAGTCCGCGGCCTGCTAATGATGCCATAAGATTTAACAAACCTTCTGTAGTAACCAGTGAGCCCTAGAAAACCTCTGAGAGCCTTCACATTTTTTGGTATAGGCTAGGACACCATGGCTTCAATCTTAGAGGGGTCAGTTGATACTCCTTTCCCAGATATTATATGACCCAGGTATTCAACCTTGTCTTGTCCAAATGAACGTTTGGACAACTTGGCATATAACTGTTCTTTCTGCAGTACTTCCTTTACTTTTCTAAGATGTAAAGCATGCGTTTCCACAGAAGAACTATAAACTAGGGTGTCATCAAAGAATACTAACACAAATTTCCTCAAGTAAGGCTTGAAAACATGGTTCATAAGACTTTGGAAGGTAGCAGGTGCATTGGTCAAGCCAAAAGGCATGACCTTGAACTCATAATGCCCTAAATGAGTTCTGAATGCAGTTTTGAAGATGTCACTCTCACCCATTCTTATTTGGTGGTAACCGGCCCTAAGGTAAATCTTAGAATAGATACAAGATCCTTTAAGCTCATCCATTAGGTCATCTACCAAAGGAATATGAAATTTATCCTTAATGGTCAGTTTGTTAAGCTCTCTATATTTAATACAAAATCTCCAACTCCCATCCTTCTTTTTAACAAGAAGAACTGGAGATGAAAATGGGGAGTGACTTGGCTGTACAATCCCATTAGTAAGCATTTCATTGACTTGTTTTTCTATTTATTTTTTTTGGAGATAGTTGTACCTGTAGGGTATGATACTAATTGGGGTTGCATCAGGTTTCAGGGGAATGAAATGATCATGGTTCTTGGTGGGAAGGACTTGGGTTCTGCAAATACTCATGGGAAGTCCTCCAATACAGATCTGATCTCTGCAGGTATGACTATAACATTTTTCACTTTTGTAGCTGTTATTGTAAACAAATGTGCCTATGTCACCTGCCTTTTCTTCGAGAGTTGTTTGACCCCAGAAGCTATCATAGCTTGTAGCTTTCCTTCTTCAGAGAATCCCTTCAGATCCACTCTTTTTCCCTTGACACTAACTTGCAGCCTATACTCAATGAAGTCAAAGAGTACTGGGTTGTGTTCAGTGTTGTGAAGAGCGTGAAGCGAGGAAAAGCGATGACCCCCATTTCACGAAAAACGAGAAGCGAGAAGCGAAGCGCTCGCTTTTTTTAAGTGATGCGGAATTAAAAAAAAATTGTAAGCAAATGTTCAATACTTCAATTAAAAAACTAAAGAGTAGCATCAATTAAAGTACAAAATGAGCATCCTATTCTTCTACGAGATTGTCAAATTCTTGTATTCCACTATCATTATTATATTGCTCGTCATCTTCTTCAACTTCATCTTCTTCATCAACTAGGGACAAAGTAGCTGCCTGTTTTTCCTTCCTCTGTGAACTTGAAGTTGAGGTACTCCCTCTCAAACCATAAATCCTCTCCCCAATTCCATGCGCCTCCGCAACATCACCCCAAGTGAAATCAAAAGTATCCTCAAATATTTCTTCATCTGCATGATCTTCTGGGACTCCAGTTAGCCATTCATTAGCATCATCGATATTGTCCAAACTAATTGGATCAATTACATTGCGAGCGTTGTAACGACGCCTCAATGTTCTATTGTGCTTAATGAAGACTAGATCATTGAGACGTTTCAAGGTTAGTTTGTTCCTCTTTTTGGTATGTCATCTGCAAATAATAAGTAATTAGTAAGATTAGGACAATTTAGATATAATTTAATTATCTCAATATACTAAATCTTTCTTATTAGTTCTTACATGCTCAAACACGCTCCAATTCCTTTCACACCCGGATGAGCTACATGTCAGACTTAGAACCTTGATGGCAAACTTTAGTAAATCTGGAGTGGAATAACCATATTGCTTCCACCATTCAACTGTAGAAGTAGAACAAATTTTCAAAACATAATATTGATAAAGAAATAACTTATTAACTATAAAACAACATATAAGCACTCGCTCACCTGGCGACTTCGTCTTTCTTTGTTTAATGGCCATGTTTTTTCCAAAAAGTTGCTCAACGTTCCTATAAATACTAAATTTCTCTGTGATTTTATCTTGCACGGATTCTTCAGGTGTCAACTTCTCAATACATTCATAGTATCCATTCCACAAAGGTTCATCTCCTAGTATCCTTTCTTCATTGTCATAAAACAGTTCCGGGTTCAAAACAAGTCCAGCTGCATGCAAAGGGCTATGAAGCTTACTATCCCACCTTTTATCTATGATCTCAAAGACTCTTTTATATTTTCTTTGATCACTAAAAGAGGCTTGAATAGCCTCCTTTGCCCTATCAATTGCTTCGTACAGGTAGCCCATTGGTGGCCTTTGCTCCCCATCCACCAAACGAAGCACTTTAACTAAAGGACCATCAATCTTCAATGCATGAACCACATTGTTCTAGAATGAAGGAGAAAGTATAATATCTGCAGATTCTCTCCCTCGAGCTTCCCTTCCATAGGCACTGCTAGTGTACTCATATGAAACAAACAACTTCTTCAAATTGCTTTTTTGCTCATACATCCAATGCAAAGTCAAGAAAGCAGTAGCAAATCTTGTCTTTGCAGGTTTCACCAAGCTTCTTTGTTTAGTGAATCTCTTCATCATGTTCAATAACAAAGGCCTTTGAACAATACAGGAATGCACTCTAATCGCCTGATTAAAGACAGTACTGAAGGGTATTTCCTTGAAAATATCACCAAAGATCAAATTAATAGAATGTGCTGCACACGGAGTCCAATAGATATGCGGGTACCCAGTAGACATCACATCACCAGCTTTAACATTTTCACTGGCGTTGTCCGTGACAACTTGAACAATACCTCGACTCACTTGATATGAAAAGTACGACGACTCAACTTTTCCATTTAAATGAAGAACAACAGTTTCAAATTTGTGCTGGGGATCAGAGATGTGATTGTAAATGAAGTACCTTTCACATTTCCTCAACCAAGATATGAGATCACCATCTTCAAAGTATGGACAGTCTACCTTTGAAGCAGAGTTGCTCGAGTGAAATCTTCCTATGGGTTGCTCATGAGGCTCTACTATTCTTATCCTGCTTCCAGAACCTTCCACGTGGTGGCTTCCTGTCGGCTCACTTCTCAAGATCCTATCCTTGTTGAGAAGATTTTTTCCATCATTATGTCAAACTTGTGATGTAATTCGTCCATTTTAGAGTCACTGGACTCTACCTTCTTGTTTGTCTCTGTCATGTAATTTTGTAGTTGATTCTCCAATTTTTTACGCTTTCTTCAGTAGTCTTAGCCCTAGTTTCTAGGACTGTCATGGTGGCAGGACTTGCTCTGATACCAATTCTGTAATGAACTAATAGTTTTTATAGGAAATGAAGATGTAATTGAAAGAAATGGAGCTTTTATTGATCACTTGGAAACAATTGAGCTACATCAATGGAATTATATATAAATACTAGCTAATAACCCTATGGATATGAGCTGAAAGTTGAGAAGAGAAAGAGAGGATTAGGAACGAAGAGAGAGAGAATAGAGAGAGAAAAGAAAGTAGTTAGAAAGTGTAACTGATTTACCGAAATTTGACTGTTCCTTCCTTCTCTATTCTGTTTATTTATTAGTTGTTGGTTAGACTGGGGTAATAACTAATTGGGCCGCCGAGTCTGTAACAATCTTTAGCCCAATACCTTCTAATCCTTTTATTTGCCCATACAAGTTTCTACACACACCTTCCCCAATATAGCAATACCTACTTACTCCACTTTCCTAATTCCTGACCTTATGCGTTACAGATTTCTGGAAAAAGCATAGAAGGTTCTGGGTTCACCTATATATTAGGGGATTCGGACGAAAATTGGGGGTTCTGGACAAACAATTTCGGAGGAGGAGGAAAAGGTCTAGGGTTTCGATTTTGATTTCCAATTCACCTCTTGTGTTTTTTTGTGTCTCGAGATTCAGATTCCTTTTTGTTTTCTAGAGCGACAGAAAATTAATTTTTTAAAAAAAAGAGAGCTTCTGTTTCTTCATTTCGATTTCGATTTTGGTTTCAAAATCATGGTGTTTGCTTGAGGTTTCAAGGTTTACTGTTTTTGGTTGCCGATTGAGGTTTCGATCGAGGTCACGGTTCGTGTTGTTGTTCCTTCTCGTTCGGATTTAGGATTCAAAGCTCTGTAGCCGACTTCACTTTTATTATCAAAAGGAAGCTTGAATTCTCAGGTTCAATCTTATCCCCTTTATTTTATGCTTTCCTCTTGGTGATAATATGATTTGAATCTAGGCTAAATTGGATGAATGAACTTTGAATTCGGGTGTGGCTTCGTTCCATGAAAAATGGTGCTCAGATTCCTCGTTTAATTTTGAAGCTCTTGTCTGAATTTTCCTTAGCCTTCTTAGAGTTATATATATTAGTGAAAGAGGAGATAAATATGATGGAATTCTTATTGTTTGAAAACTTGTGCTACTGTTTTGGTTTAATCAGAACATTTGAAGAATTTTACACTATTTGAGCCAAAACTGATTCTAAATTTTTCATAGTGTCGAAATATTTTCCTTATTAGTTGGGTTAGAATAAATGCCACACTGAGTATTGAATAATCTGTTTTGCTCGTGACAAGTTGCTTTGGGGTTCGTGGTTGGGGATAAATTCAGTTTTCATTCTCTTGTTTCAATGGTGTGATACTTTAATGTTGGATTTTAGAATGTGGTCACTGTCGTATATTTAATTTCCCCTTATCCATGTGTCTCTTTTCTTTGCTGTACTCTTTTTATAAGTAAATAATATAGGCTGGTATTTTAAAGAAATCTAAAAGGAACGCTTTTCGTTTACTAAAATTTGCACAGTTTGGAGATGGATTTAACTTATAAAATATTAATCGTGTAAAGAATTTTATATGTACTAATCAATTCTGTTAAGATCAATGAAGTATAAAACACAGAGTGGTCGACTGATGTTATGACATCTATGCTTCAAAGTTATAGTTTGCAAGTTAATATTTCACTATTTTCACCCACAGTGCGACTTTCCCGGCATTAAACCCGTTTTGGAATCTTTATAACTTTGGATTGCATCCGACCTTTGTCTACTTTGCGAAAGCTAAAGGTCGGTACTGAAAGAATCCACATGAATAATGTATGTGTTCGAGGCTTTGATGGGGAAGGAAAAGATTCTGCATGCTTGAATTGGTGATAGGGCCAGTTGGGTTTACTGTGATATTTCAAGTGCTAGACGTGCCTGTCTCCTATAGTTTGTTATTGGGTAGGCCCTGGATACATGCGGCTAAGGCAGTGCCGTCATGGTGTACTAGTAATTGTTAATATATAAATATGTGTGTCTGATTCCAGTCACGAATAAATCGATGAATAATATGTTTTCGAAATACATCTCCATGGAGATATTATCAAACACACTTGTATATTATTAGATTGTCTATGTTATCACTGTCTTTCATTTATTTCAAATCCCAATCTTATAAGTTCTTTAGATTTAAAAAGGTTCTCCATAAATTTTCAAAGTACTTACGAAATATTTTCAGAAACTGTATTCTAGTTTATCCAAAATTTGGCATGGAGATGAAACTTAGAAAGGTTCCAATAACTTCTGAATTCAGATGCCATAATTATATATCTTGGTGGAATAAGGGATATTGGTTGTTGAGATAAGGGATAAATAATTTAGAATTAGATGCAATTTATTCTGCGTTTAATTGAATTTTCGAATTCAGAATTAATAATTTCGGGATTAAGTTATACCATATTTGTGGTATTATTATATCCTATATTGAGGGTGGGATAATAATCCTGAGATTAAGTGATCCCAGGATAAAACACTACAACGAGAAAAATTTTCTTTTTCAAGGTTGTATCCTAACCGTCCTTTATCTAGTAAACACCAGACACATACTTAATATTATATTTATTTTAGTCTAATAAACTAAATATCTCCAATAAAAAGCTATTTACTAAATAATTTTAACTTTATTTAAAATTTATATATTATAATTCCAAAATAACTTGATAAATATGTCAAGAAAAATAATTGCAAGAGAATTAGGTGACGCTACTCATATTTTGCCAGTAGTACTATTTAATTTTCTAGCGTTGCATATGGACTGTTGAGGTCGTACGTTTGTGAAATACCATAACTCGCCTTTTTTTTTTTTTTTGGAAAACTACCAGCTATGTCCATTTATAAGTAGCTGATTATAAAAATTGATCCATTCATAAAATATTATTAATATTAGCCAATTAGCTATTTGTAGCAAAAAAAAGTCAATTTTTTTTCTTTCTTTTGAGTGGGTGGTATTAGAATAGATTGGGTACATCTTAAGCAGCTTGAATCTTAGTTTTGGGATGATTTGGTGAAGTTTTAGGATAGTTTGAATAGAAAATTTGAAGTAAAAACTGAACTGAAAAAAAATGATATATGTATCACACTGTGTATCACATATGTATCCTATTTGTACCAATTGTGTATCACATGTATATCCATGTATACCTGTGTGAGATACATGAGTGATATATTTTTGATACATGTGTCGCAGAAATTTTTTTTGAACTCGATTTAATTATGAATTTTGATACCTCCAATTTTCCTCAAATTTTGTATATTGACTTATCTATATGTTTTCAATGAATTTCAACAATACCAATTGAAAAAGTTCCTTTTTTGCTTAGATTTTTGAAATATTGTATTTTTTTTTGTATTTCATAACCTTATTTACTACCTCATCCATGAAATTTCCTTTCCGTCATGCATCTAATGTTGCTAACCACGCTTAAAAATATGGAAGGAGATTTTCGCATGTAATTCTTTCAGAGAAAGAACCCTATTTATTTGATATTTCAATTTTTGTATGTGTTTGGCTAGTTTTGGTAAGTCTATGACTAATGGATAGATGTTGGTAAGTTGAGACTTATTTGGAACATTTCTGTAAGTTTTCCTTTTTTCTTTCTGAAACATTTTCATCGTCTTTGGTACGGAGTAAAGGTGTTTATCGGACGGATTGGACCGAGTTGGATATGGAAAAAAATAGCTCGTCCAGTTAGTGGGACGAGCTGGTTAGTGGGCCGGGGTTCCGGGCTGGTAGTGGGCTGGAATTTTCTGGGTTAAGTTGGATCCGTATGGGTTCGAGCTTATCGGTCCGGACCGGGTTTTTTTTTTAGTGTATTATGTTTTCTTATTCAATGTAATTAATACTTAAGTGTTTGCAAGCTTTTAAATAATAAAATAAGTATTTTAAGGCATAAAATTAAACTTTTACACTTTAAAGTTTAAAGTTTTAAATTTGAAATTTGAATTTTAAAATTTTAGAATTGATATTAAGTGGCTACATAAAATTATTTAATACG